GAAGTAGTATATCTGGTGAAAGCTGCAGAACTCAAGGATGAGGACTGGCTACTACTGAGTTCTCTAACCGCCAACATCGCTAATACAGTAAACTTATTTAGTAGGATTCAGGGTGAGTTGGACCTCCTAAACATAAATACAAAAGCTATCTCCCCCCCCCCCCCTTAACAGTACTTCCAAAAGTGGTGATGCCTCAGAAGTGAGCTGTCAAACTGATTCCTTACAGGAATTCTATTCCTGTAATACTGTTGGTGTTTATTATGTGTGCCATTAAACCTAGTACTCTACCATTAAGCCACATGTCCAGCCCAAGTGTTTATTTTGGAACTTGTGGTTTGTTTAAGACATGACTTTGTAGTGCTATAACATTAAAATTTTAAAAACTTTCACATTTACTGAGTACTAGAAATAGAGCAATGTAATTCTGGCACAGCCCATTAGAGGCCTTTGTATTAAATGGTCTTCCTTCTGGTAAGTTGTGAAAATGTTCAACACCACCAGGAGGTACTCTAGCAAAAAGGATTGCTGCACAGTAGCAATTTGAAGAGGAAAAAATGTTAAATGTAAAAACCACAATTGTCAGTGTATTATGTAGTCTCTCCCCAATGGGTAAAGGCAGCCAAAACCATACTGTGAAGTCCCAGAACTAGCAGGTGAAAATAAAGCTTTTGACATCAGACGTGTTGACATTTTTCATGTACCCTGTCCTTCCCCCAAGGACAGGCTCAACTAATAAATAAGCTTAAGGCAGGGATGCACCAAGTGAGATCTTTGGAAAGATGGCCAGTAAGGATCGTGGACCAAAATAGAACTGACTGATAAACCAGGAAAAATACAAAAAAAAAAAAAATGGGTGAGGCCAGTGTTCAGGGCTGGGGGTGGTGGGGGCTACCTCAATCTGGCATGTCATGACCACCAGTTTGTCAGCCTGTCCTCAATACTAGTGCTGGTTAATTTTGAAAATGTTGGCCACCGTAAAGGGAGCACCTTATTCTGTCAGAGCACTTTATCAAAGAGACTACCTGAGTTATGCTGTCACCAGCACTGCTTCACTTATACTGGACCTGTAACGCCAAGTATAAGACCTAGAGGCTGGAGTGTTCTAAAATCCATTGGCTTTTGGATATAATAGCATGATGCACCCTCACTGTAAAGTTCTGGCCATAGGGATTACACTTTCTACTGGGAGATGGGGGAGGTGTCATTCCTATTTTAGAGTCAAAACTTCAGCCTTAGAGATTTTTTTCCTAATGAAAACTATGTCCCTGGCTCGTGCCTTTAAGACAGCCTGGACAGGAAAGTCCATGATTAACAATCAAAAAGTTTGAAGTTGAGCTGTGGCTCAAGTAGAGTGTTAGCAAAAAAGTTCAGTCAGTGCCCAACCCCTAGACCAACACAAGACAATGCTAACAGCATGACCAATATAAGGAGGTAACAATTCTAAACCCTGAACTGGGAACAAATATACCAACAACTGGAATGTGGACAGATTCCATTATTAACCTTATTTGACAGCTGGTTCAACCTTGAATATATCTTGGGGAACTATGATTTCTCTTGGATCTTGAGCAATGTTTATAGTAGTCCATGATCTGATTTTTTTGGGTTGGGGGGAGCCCAGGTCTTGGGACTTGAACCTGGGGCTTGGGCACTGTCCCTGAACTTTTTTTTTTTTTTTTTTTTGTCGGTCGTGGGGCTTGAACTCTGGGCCTGGGCGCTGTCCTTCAGCTCAAGGCGAGCACTCTACCACAGCACCACTTCCGGTTTTCTGGTGGTTTATTGGAAATAGGAGTCTCACAATCTTTCCTGCCCGGGCTGGCTTTGAACCATGATCCTCAGATCTCAGCCTCCTGAGTAGCTAGGATTACAGGTGTGAGCCACCAGTGCCCGGCGTCCCTGAACTTTTTTGTGTTCCAGGCTAACACTGACCACTTGAGCCACAGCACCACTTCTGAGTTTTTCAAAGTAGTTTATTGGAGATAAGAGTCTCACAGGACAGGAAATGTGGCTTAGTGGTAGAGTGCTTGCCTAGCATGCACGGAGCCCTGGCTTTGATTTCCTCAGTACCACATAAACAGAAAAGGCTGGGAGTGTCAGTGGTTCAAGTGGTAGAGTGCTAGCCTTGAGCACAGAGAAGCTCAGGGACAGTCTAAGCCCTGAGTTCAAGCCCTAGGACTGGCAAAAGTCTCAGACTACTTGCCCAATCTGATTTCAAACTTTGGTCTTCAGATCTTAGCCTCCTGAGTAGCTAGGGTTACAGGCATGAGCACTGGCACCCAGGAGTTCTGATTTTTAGGAGAAAGAAACCCGAGAGCCTTGGCTTAAGCCTTTTCTGAGCCAACGTCCTCATTTTTACAAGTGAAACAATGAATGAAGCCCAGTAGCTCTGCAATTCAAATAAAGCTTCTTGGTGTAGAGGGCTAGCAGTTCAGCCTGGCAGGTACATTCCTGAACAAAAAGCACTGATGGATTCATCCTACCCTCACTTGTGGGTCATCCACTGACCTTATTCACAGCCCTCTGCTGAGCTAGAGGAGCTACATCCTTTGAATTCCTCAGCTCCCTTGGCCTGTAAGGTGGTTTTGTTTTGTTTTGTTTTTTAACTGTTTTGGCTTTTGTTTTGTTTTTGTTGGTCATGTGGCTTGAGCTTTGGGCTTGGGCACTGTCTCAGCTCTAGCTCAAGGCTAGCGCTCTATCACTTGAGCCACAGCACCACTTCTGGTTTTCTGGTGATTAATTGGAGATAAGAGTCTCACAGACTTCGTTGCCTGGGCTGGCTTTAAAACCATGATCCTCAGATCTCAGCCTCCGGAGTAGCAGGATTACAAGCATGAGCCACAGGCACCCAGGTTTTTTTTGTTTTGTTTTTAACATAAAAGTACATTTTCATTCCTTAAAGAGCAGTATAAAAGAATAATAAGACCTACTCAAAAAACCTCCAGGTCACTGCGGTGGTGGCTCACGCCTGGCATTCAAGCTCTAGTACCACAAGAAATCAAATGCTCAAATACTAGCTTTTTTAGGTTGGTGACTTCTGTGATGTGATAACACATTAAGTTTCTGTTCTCAGATGAGGGTCTGGCAAACATGCATTCCTAAGAGGTCATACAGGAGAAATGGTAAGGGGCCCCTTTACCTAGAGGGCAGCCTATAAGGTACATTGAACTAGGGACTAAAAGCCAGGGAGGCCATATATAACATGGTCTCCATTAAAAGTTATGGGCTGTTTCCCTTTGCTTGGTGCTTCTGTGGATGTCCTCACATTTAAACTATGTCTCCCTTCCAGTTGAAGACTCCCTAGAGGCAGGGACAGTATCCATTCAGGTAAGACTTCCATGTGAAAATGATATCTCCTGCACAACTACTGTGCCCAACACAGTGTTGTCAGATTAACAATTTATGAGGCAGGATGGAAAATAGGCTTTCGAGATGGCCAGAAATAGGTTCAAATCCTGGCTCTGTCATTGCTCACCATCCCACTGACCAGCTCATGATGGTGGAGACAGCAACAGAAGTACAGGCAATAGAAAGAACATTGGGGACATGAAGGTCACTGCCTGGCACATGAAGTACGCAGTCCTGGGCTTGCCCTGGATGTGTGCCTTGTTCCTGGGTAGGCTAGAAACATGGTGCCTTAGTTTTGTCCTTAGTGATTCTGTGGGATAGGGTCAGGCAGGATCAGTGGGGCTGGGACTCCATCCCCCACCCCGCTGCCATTATCAGCTGTGTCCAGATGGTCTCAGGCTCCTTAATCTGAGGTAATTTGTGAGCTGAACTCAGCTGGTGCTTTGTGGCTGTGATGGGCCAGTCCTAGCTAGGGAGACCCTGCAGTCAAAGCCCTGGGGCTTTGAAGATGGGGAGGGTGTGGGCCAACCTTTGCTAGAGAGTTCTGGGAGCAGATGACACTCCAAAAGGCAATCTTAGTACAAATGATGAGCCTGCAGATGGGCCTGGCAATGCCTCCAGCTTTTGAGCCACAGGCACAGACAGCTTAGCTCAGAATCTCTGGTGTGCTTTGTTCCCTCTGAGCTACCTCCTTGTCCAGCAATTTTATCACTGTCACTGGAGCCCCAGGCCACACCAAGCTTTATAATGGCAGCAGTGCTTTACATTGATAGGGATCTGGCAAGTCCCGGTACACAGCTTGGCCCGTGGCTCTGCTGTCCTCCACCTTGCATAAAATAGTTTTTAATGTCCATGGCTTTGCATAAAATAATTGTTACCGTCCATGCTGCTCTTTTGAAAGTCAATAAGGTTGTAGGTATGGGTTGAATATTGGTTTCCCTCCAAAAAAAGAATTTTTTGTTGTGGTTTTTGTTGGTCATGGGCGTGAACTCTGGGCCTGGGCCCTGTACCTCAACTCTTCAGCTCATGGCTAGCTGCTCTTCCACTTGAGCCACAGCACCACTTCTGGCTTTTTCTGTCAGAATCAAACCCAGGGCCTCGTGCATGCAAGGCAAGCACTCTACCACTGAGCCACCTTTCTAGCCCTCCATCCAAAACTCTAAATGTCTGAACTTAATACTGGGTTTGATAAGTGTTAAGGGGTGGGGCCTTTGTTGAGTGTTAAGTCACTTGGCATTAGTGCCATTATGAGGTAGAATCTCTTATTCAAACTGCCTCATACCCCTCCAGAAGGAGGAAGTTGTAGAGCTACGAAGAAAAGTCCATACAGTACACTGGATCTATTGGTGCCTTGATCTTGAGTTTCTTGCCTCCACAAATGAAAAATAAACTCCTAGTGTTTATGTTTTAAATGACTCAGTCTTAAGGGGGTAGTAAGTAGCCCAAATGGAGTAAGATGTTAGGAACGGATGCTGGGGATAACCTCTCAAGCAAAGTGGGGTTGAGCTGAAACACAGATCCAACCTTCAAACAAAGTTTTATTTATAAGAAAAAGGGACAATAAATTAAAGAACTATTTACATGGAGGTGCCAGGAGGGGAGCAGTGCTGTGCCTGAGTTCTGCCTCTACCTCCAACTCAGGCTGTTCATCTGAGTCACCTGTCCAGGCTCTGGATGATGGTGACACATCCATGGGAGCTGGTGCAGCGCTGCAGGGGTGGCTGGGCCTCCACCTGTCCACTGCTGGGGTCAAAGGTGAAGACCCTGTCAATGCTTTCCCCACGATCATCTCTCCCACCAAGGATGTGGACCTTCCCATCGCACACTGTCACTCCACAGCTCTCCTATGTGGACACACAGAATGACAATTATCTATGAGCTCCAATCTTTGGTCCCCTCAGTTCCTAGCTGGCCAGACCAGTTAACAATACAGACTATGAACAGGTACCATGGATGGATGGCAGGGAGACAAAAAGTAGGTGGGCCTGAGTAAAAGCTTTGTCTCTTGACCCTTAGTAAATGAATGGCCTAGAAAAGTCATGCAACTGCTCTGGGCCTTAGATTCCCTCATCTGCAGTGTGTGAAGAGTGGCTACCATTACAGCGTTCTCTTCACAGTTAAGTGGTTATATAAAGCATTGAATATAGTACCTTGTCTGGCATCTGATAAGTACACTAGCAATAATAATTACACCCTTAGGCTATCAGACTTAAAAGTCAGAAATCTTGGGATTACTGAAGGCCACGCTTCTATAGTCTCTTGAATTTCAGGGAAGAGGGAGCCAAGGAGCTGTAGGAATGAGAACTTCCAGGACCTGGACACCTGTTATCACTAAAGCAAAGGAGCTTATCAAATTGTTTGCCCTTTAGGGTTAGGTAAGGCTTACTGGATCTGCCTCACTTAAGGCTACAGCCCAGGCTCTGCCCTAATATGGCTTAACTGGCAGCCTCTAAGGCCAGTCTGTTCATGTGTGAAATGCAAGGTTAATCACCCGGACAAGCTAGAGAACAATGTAAAACCACTTACCCAGAGTCATGCCTGAGACCCACCACCTCCACGTTCCAGAGCCTTACAAATGGATTGGTTCTCCAGAATGGACTTGGGTAAGGACCATGCCAGGAGCCTCTCTACTTACCACAGGCCTGGGGAGGACAGCCACCTCCCCCCAGACATCTGTGTCCGGGTCATAGGTGAAGATTTTGCTCATGAGGCCTCCCACTACATAGATGGTGTCCTCGAGGGAGACAGCCTCAAGACACCGCAGTGAGAAGGGCGCCGGTGACCGCAGGCTCCACTGGTCCTCCTTGGGGTCCAGACACTGCACCTGAGGGGCAGAAAAACAGGGGTGATAAAGCCTCCCCCAGTGACCGTACTACCCACATGCTTCCACCCCTCTCTCGGGATCTCGGGATGCTGAGCAGAACACCATCTATGTCCACTGGGCATCTGGGAGGTAGGAGACCTGCTGACCCTGTCCTCTGGTGCTCAGCCTAGTTCTACTTTTTCTCCCCAGCTCCTGCACATCCTTTGTTAAAAGCTGACTCATCTTTCAAATGCCATCAGCTCAAATGCCTCCCCATCTTCAAAGCCTTCCCCACAGAGGAACAGTGTCTCTTTTGATGGAAGAGAACAGTCACCTTAGGGAATTAGTCTTTTGAGCATGTCTCATCAAGTGGGGAGAAGTGTCTTAGGTCCTCTCTGCAGGTCCCTGCAGAGATGTGTGTCTAGCCACACGCCCTAGCAACCTTTCCCTGTGCCCTGTCAGGAGTGATTGTAGCTGAGGTGTCTTGCAACCCCACTCCTTGCTACAATGGTCCATGGCTTCCCAGGCTCATAGTTGTTTATGATTCCCTGACCCTTTAACATTTAACAAAAACTGTTGTTAACAGTAATGTGCAGAGGGGTTACCATTACATAAGTCAGGTAAAGAGTACATTTCTTTTTGGACAATATCACCCTTTCCCATGCTCTCCTGGCCCCTTTCTGAGGATACATACCTCTATCTGGCTGCCTGTTCACCTTCATCCCAGTTTCTCTGTTGTTTCTGTGGAGACCCACAGAATGGCTGCTGCATGATGACAGTATAAAATGAGCTGCCTAAAGCTGATGCCCTGGGAAGTTCTGGAAAGTTTGCTAGAACAGTGGTGTCCGAGGATAGGGAGGAGTGGAGTGGTTCTAATTTGGTAAGGATTCTGGTCTCAGGACCACAGAACTGTGAGGGTGTCAGGGGTGGAGAAGTTGTGACAAGAAGGTTCATTTTTATTCAGAAAGCTCAAATGCCCAACAGTAAAGCATAGGTATACTACAGTTTATCACTCAGTGGATTATTACTGCTGCTCAAATGATGGCTGGAGAATTCTGTGTAGAGTGCTCATACTGAACTGAGACTAGTAAGTAGAAGGCCAAGTTTTACAGTAAGAAGAAAACAAATAATAGTGAAAGTTAATTCTGTGGGAGCTGGGAAGCTACCATGCCATAATACTCACAGTAGTTGTCCCTAGATGGTGGGACAGTAGGTCACTATTTATTTCAATATTATTATTTTTCCTTTTTTCCTTTTTTTTTTTGCCAGTCCTGGGGCTTGAATTCAGGTCCTTTGCACTGTCCCTGAGCTTCTATTTTTTTGTTCAAGGCTAGCAGTCTTGAGCCACAGCACCACTTCCAGCTTTTTCTGTTTATGTGGTACTGAGGAATCGAACCCAAGGTTTCATGCTCTACCACTAAGCTACCTTTCCAGCCTTCAATACTATTTTTTTTTTGGAGGAAAACCGTTTTAATCCTACCCCTGCTTCATTTCATTTCTTAAGACCTATAAAACCACGGTGGCTCACGCCTGTAATAATAACTACTAGAGGCTGAGGTTCAAAGCCAGCTTATGCAGAAAGTCCCAGAGACTCTTATCTCCAATTAGTCATCAAAAATCAGCTGGAAGTGGGTTTGTAGCTTAAGTGGTAGAGCTCTGGCCTTGAGTACAAAAGGTCAGGGGTAGTGCCCAATACTGGGTTCAAGCCCTAGTACCGACAAACAACCTCTATGAAACCTGTATGGACGTCCGACCACGAGGAGACCAAGCGTTCTGCTGACCTACAGGACCCTTGAGATCCTTTCTCTGAGATAATGTCCTCGTCTGAAAGCCGGGGCCTCGTGGGCTGCTGACCAGCACAATTGGGTCTAGCCTGGCACGCGGCCTTCCTGCAGCATCCCACGCCCCCTGCCCCTGCAGCCCCCGCCCTGAGCCCACCGTGTTGGTGTTGAGGCCGTCCTGCCCAGCGCCCGCGATCACGTAGAGCCGGCCCGCGCAGGGCGCCACCGCCGCCGAGCTCACGGCCGTGGGCAGGGGGGCGACAGCCACCCACGTGTTGGAGAAGGGGTCGTAGCGCTCCACGCTGCACAAACGCCGCAAGCCGTCGAAGCCGCCCACCGCGAACAGCTGCGAGGATAGGGGTGGAGGGTGCCCAGAGTTACAGCCGTAAGGAACCCCGCAGCCCCATCACGTGTGTGCGCGCGCACACACACGCACACACACATACATATGGCCAAGTCCAGCACACTGGGTCATCCCAGTACTGCGGTCACCTAGGTGCTCCTTTAGTTCCTGAACCTCCTGAGCTGCTCCCTCTCCTGGAACAGGGATTAATGAGGCAGGCTTAGTGCAACACATGGCACCAAGCTGATAACAGGGAGTCCTTTATTAGGGATTTTTACCACCCTACTTAGCCTTAAGGAGCACTTTTATGATTCTAACTTTGGGATGTAGTTTACAAAAGTTAGGCATATATATAGATATATATTACACATATACATTATATGCATATACATTATATATGTATATACATATGTATGCATTCTATACAACTTTTATGTCTTAGATGGTAGTCAAGGTTCAATCCTACATTGTTTAGCCCCAGAGCCTACAGATACCCATAAACTACTTATTGTTAGCATTCTCATTATTGTGTGATCTTGGGCAAGTCTCTCTCTCTTTTCAGGCTTTCTTACAAAGAATAATTCTGGGGGTGCTGCTGGAGTGACTCTGGGGTAAAGTGCCTGCCTAAAGGGTCCTGGAGGGAGCTTTCCCCCAGGATAGTCATAGATCTGTGCTCTCAGTCCCAGGATAGCAGCTTGCTGCAGGTACCTACCTGCCCCTGCAAGGCTACCATCTTGTGTCTCCACCTGCCCTTGAGCATGGAAGCTACCTTGATCCAGGTATGCAGGTGGGAGCTAAACATCCACACATCGCGGCTGTTGATGTGGCCTCCTAAGGAGAAATAAGTAGCTATTGCTCCAGGTCCTCTCGCTACCCTCCCAGTGCCCCCCAAGGAACCAGCATGTGAGATCCAAAGACAAGCATTAAGGATGTGCTGGGGACAAGGCAACACAGTACAGGCAATCTGTACAGGAAGGGCAGAGGTAATTAGTAATCAACCCTTCTTCACCTTTATGCTTTCTAGTCCTTCCCTCCTTGAGGTGTTAGGATGATTACACCCGCTTAGAGATTGCTGAAGACCACCTGGCAAGGATCAAACCCAGAGCTTTACCTCAAGGGTCAAGCCCAGCATTCAGCTGAAGGACACAACATATTGCTTCAGCCAATAACAGCAGGTTATCAGGAAAAGTCTAGCTCCCTGGGTAGACTGCAGTAAAGAAGGAAGTGTGTGAGAGGTGATGAGCCAATCCCATGGGGCTTCTGTCACAGTCCCACCCTCACCAGAAACGTAGATGTCATTTCGAAGAGCACAGGCAGCGAACTCTGAGCGAGTGTAGCCAGGCAAGCTGGGCAGCGGGGTCCAGCATTGGCTCTCTGGGTGGTAGGCATCAGCAAAAGGCAGCTTCAGGAGACCCTTTCGGTCACAACCGCCGACGACAACGATCACTTCAGCTAGATCCATGAATCTGGCATAGGGATCAACCAGGGCTTGTCTCCCACCCAAGTTGCCAACCTTTATCACCCTTTTGCTGACACATGCAATTCAGCTATTCTGCCCTTCAATACCTTGGCCCCACACTGGACCCTGACACTTCCAACACTCTTTCTTGGTATCTCTAATTCTCAATCTATACTCACCACTAAGTAACAGAAAAAAATAGTTATAAAAGCCTTTGCCCTTTCCCTAGGGAAAAAAATTAGACCTGTTTAATCTTTAAAAATGGATCCATCAGCTAGGAATTAGGAAGGGGAAAAAGACTGGACTATGAGTACATTTTTCTGACATCCATCCTCAACTGCTAATCTCTCTTTTCTCTCTGTGTGTGTGGTAATGAGGCTAGGCAGGTGTTCTACCATTTTAGCCTTGTCCCTGTCTACAAAAAAATCCAATACTGCCTTCCCCTCCCCCCCACTACTAGGGCTTGAACTTGTGTTTGCTAGGCAAGCACTCTATTATATGTCACACTCTAGTTCTCCAGATGGTAACCCACCTCCTCTCTCTAGCTTGAACTCAAGGTCTCTTCCTGGACTTTCTTGCTCTTTGGCACTCTTAACCATTTGAGCCATACTTCCAGTCCAATATTTTCCATCTATCTAGGCTGGTTTTCAATGTGATCCTCCCAAGTCTCAGCGTCTTGAGTAAAGACTATAGGTGTGAGCCATTGCACCCAACTCCTATATCCATGTCTTAAAGCCATTCCCTATTCACTAATTCTTTTGGACAGGGCTCCTCAGTAATGCATCGCCTTCCCCCACTGACCCTTCACCAAACCCTTTAGCCAGTGGTTCATGACTTTCTCCACAAATCCTAAACATTGGACCTGGGTTTAGTCAGAGATGAGGTAGAGGAACAGTGTCAACTTTGTTTTCTGTCTCAGGTGAGGGATGGGAAGGTGGTGGGGTTTGGGGTGACCATCAATGGAGGACGACTTCACCTATACTTTCCCAGGCTGGCGTAGCAGGGGCCCAAGTAGGCTTTTACTCCACCCTTTCCCCCGCTCCATACTCATACTAGTTCTATGGGCTCCCAGATTACAAATCTCAGCAGGCTGTGCCCAGTAAGCACTCGGCATTGTAGATGGGAGGCTACAGAATAGAGTGGAGGTGAGGGGTCCTCTGTCTCCCTTACTGGAACAATTCCACAAGCCAGGTAAGGCAGGCCTGCGCCAGCCTAGGAGATGAATAACTAAAGTCCAAGTTAATTCGGGCATGGCTGTGGAAGGAACTGGCTTTCAGTGACTCGGGGGGGTGGCGGAGGAAAGGGCTGGAGGCTGACTCTGCAGAGGCGAAGGGGAGGCGGCCCTACCTCCGCGGCCGGGCCCGCAGCGCGCCGGCCTCGCGGCCCAGGATGAAGCAGGCGCGGGCCTCGAGCAGCAGCGGCCGGCACTCGCCGCAGGCCCTCAGCAGCTCGTCGGCCTCCACCTTCTCCAG